TAGGCATGCGGTCTTCAGTAGTTGTGGCACGCAGGCTTCAGTAGTTGTGGCTTGTGGGCTCTAGAGCACAGGCTCAGTAGTTGTGGCACACGGGCTTAGTTGCTTCGCGGCATGTGGTATCTTCTCAGACTAGGGCTTGAACCTGTGTCCCCTGCATTGGCAGGCGATTCTTAACCACTGTACCACCAGGGAAGCCCTATTCTATTTCTTTGAAAAATGCCATTGGAACTTTGATAGGGCTTATATTGAATCTGTAGATTGCTTTGGGTAGTATGGACATGTTAACAATATTAATTCTTCCAATCCATGAGCATGGAATATCTTTCCATTTATTTGTGTCTTCTTCAGCTTCTTTTACTAATGTCTCATACTTTTCAGTACATGGGTTTCACCTCCTTGGTTAAATTTATTCCTAGGTATTTTATTCCTTTTGATGTAATTGTAAGTGGGATTGTTTTCTTAATTTCTCTTTCTGATAGTTCACTATTAGTATATAGGGACACAACAGATTTCTTGTGTACTGATTTTGTATCCTACAGTTTTACTGAATTTAGGGACTTCCCTGGTGGTGCAGTGGTTAAGAATCTGCCTGCCAATGCAGCGGACAGAGGTTCAAACCCTGGTCCGGGAAGATCCCACATGCCATGGAGTAACTAAGCCTGTGTGCCACAAGTACTAAGCCTGTGCTCTAGAGCCCGTGAGCCCCAACTCCTGAGCGCATGTGCCGCAACTACTGAAGCCTATGTGCCTAGAGTCTGTGCTCCGCAACAAGAGAAGCCACTGCAGTGAGAAGCCCGCGTACCTCAACAAAGAGTAGGCCTCACTTGCCGCAACCAGAGAAAAAGCCTGCATGCAGCAACAAGGACCCAATGCAGCCAAAAATAAATAAATAAATTTATTTATTTTTAAAAATTTACTGAATTTATTAGTCCTAGCAGTTTTTTGATGGAGTCTGTAGGATTTTCTACATATGACATATGGTATATATGATATCATGTTATCTGCAGTTAGTGACAGTTTACTTCTTCCTTTCCAGTTGGATGCCTTATATTTCTTTTTCTTGCCTAATTGCTCTGGCTTGCACTGCCATTACTGTGTTGAATAAAAGCGGTGAAGGTGGGCATCCTTGTCTTGTTCCTGATCCTAGAGGAAAGGCTTTCAGTTTCTCACTGTTATATATGATGTTAGCTGTGGGCATGTTGTATATGGCCTTTATTATGTTGAGGTACATTCCCTCTACATACCTTTGTTGAGAGTTTTTATCATAAATAGGTGTTAGGGACTAGAATTTTGAGGGTGAAAATAAAGGAAAAGTGTGTAGAGATGGTCAGGTCTCGGTGACGGATTTGATAGGGACATGCAAGCGTACTGAGGATCAACCCTAGGTTTTTCCCTGACTTCTTGTGAAATATTTATTTGGTCTTCGTCAAATTTCTGGCACAGAGCTCCTAAAACCCTTGGCATTTCCTAAGTGATGAAAGTGACAATTTTTTTTTATATTAGTGAGGAAACTTTTGTATCACAACTAAGGGTGGGGGTCTGGTTGCCAGGAGAACCAACCATGTGATTAGAGTGTTGGAATTTTCAGTCCCTCCGCCTTGACCCCTGGGAAGGAGAGAAGGGAAAGGAACCAAAAGTTAGATTAACAGCCAATGGCCAGTGATGAAATCAATCATTCCTATATAATAAAACCTCCATAAAAATTCAGAAGGATGAGGTTTGGAGAGCTTCCAGGTTGGTGAACATGTGTAGATACAGAGAGAGTGGTGCCCTCAGAGAGTGTGGAAGCTCTGCACCCTTTCCCTATGCCTTGCCCCATGCATCTCTTCCATCTGGCTAGTCCTGAGCTGCATCCTTTTATAATAAACTGATAACGTAGTAAACAAATGTTTCTCTGAGTTCTGTGAGCCACTGTTGCAAATTAATGGAGGGAGGCTGTAGGAACCTCCAATTTATAGCTCGTTGGTCAGAAGCACAGGTGACAACCTGAACTTGTTATTGGCCTAAGGGAGAGGGGGGGTCACTGGAACATCCAATCTGTAGCCAGTTAGTCAGAAGCACAGGAAATGATTGAAATGGGTGGCGGGGACCAGGGGGCACTCTTGTGTGACTGAACTCTTACCCTGTGAAACCTGATGCTATCTCTGGGTGGACAGTGGCAGAACTGAATTGAATCATAGGACACCCAGCTGGTGTCCTGAGAATTGCTTGGTGGTATGGGGAGCACCCCACCCCTACTACACACACCCATGCATTGGAATTGGGTCCAGGAACCCCCCAAATTCGTGGCTAGGATAGGCGGTGGAGGAGGAGCTCTGGAGAAAAAGTTCTATGAAACCCTCATTTGTCTGACACCTTGTTAGAGGAAGTTCAGTCAGAATGAATGGCATATCAGAACGGTGAAATATTTTTAAAGGAAACAGCTTCACTATTTCCAGGAAATAGAACCAGGCTTTAAAATGATTCCTTCGTTTGTCCCCAGCACTTGTTTAATAGAGACTTAGAAATGGTTTGCCAATCACAATTCGGTTGGACCGCCAGCGGTGCTCCTCAAGTGTTTGAAGGTGATTAAAAGCAGCTTGTTTTTCTAAGGCATTTAAATAGTCCCTCTGGAAATCTTGTTAAACTCTTCATTTGCTTCCCAAACTCTTCCTCTTTAAAGAGAGGACAACCTAAACTCTCGTTGAGCCTCTCTGTGTCCCAATTAATGAGGCTTTACTCATTTAAGAAATACTGACCGGCTGCATTAGCCCGCGTCTTCCTCTGGGGTCAGTAGAGGCACTTTTCACCAGGCACTTAAACCTTAGCTGGTGTTAGTGACTATTTTAACGATCGCTCCAGTCAGCATTTTGCATTCTGCCAAATGGACTGATGAGGTAGTGGTGCGGATAAGGGGCAGAGTCTCATAGCCCACTTTGCCTGGGAACAAACCCCAGATCATGGAATTATGTCGTGGTGGAGGTATTTCCTCTGACATCTGTTGAATACCTACACATGCCAGGCTTTCACACACACTGTCTCCTTAGTCCTCATGACCACCAGATGTGGAATATTTCATCCTTCCCTTTTGCAAATGATAGAATCCAAATCTTAAACCTGTACATCCAACTGCCTGCTGACCGTCTTCACTTGTACATCCCCTGAGTAAAGGCCCAAACAGCGAATTCTTTTTTTTTTTTAACCTCCTCCTTTATTTGGGGTCAGCAACCAAACCAATTCATTCATCAACAATTAGAAATCTAGACTTATTTATTATTATTTTTTGGCCGTGTTGCGCAGCGTGTGGGATCTTCGTTCCCAGACGTAGGGATCAAACCCACGTCCCCTGCAGGTGAACCACAGAGTCTTAATCACTGGACTGCCAGGGAAATCCTTAGACTCATTCTTGATTCTTCCTTCTCTCTCGCTTTCTTTTTTTAAACCTTGTATACCCTACCAATTATTGCCAGATCTTAATGGTTTCACACCTACGTATTTCTGTACATCTGACACTTGAACAACAGGTTTGAACTGCATGGTTCAGCTTATGTGCGGATAATTTTCAATAAAAAATACTACAGCACTACATGGTCCACTGGTTGAATCTGAGCGTGCAGAATAATCACTGACGCAGAGGTCCGACTGTAAATTATATGTGGATTAACACTCATGTTCAAGGTCAGCTGTATTCGTTTTTTTTTTTTAATCCTGTGTATTAGTTTCCTATGGCTGCTGTAACAAATAACCATCAACGTAATGGCTTAAAAAAACCCGCAAATTTATTCTCTTACAATTCTGGGGGCCGGGCGTCTGAAATGAGTCTTACAGGTCTGAAATCAAGGTGTCAGTAGGGCTGGCTCCCTCTGGAGACTCTAGGGCAGAATCCATTTCCTCATGCTTTCTCGTTTCTGGGAGCCGCCTGCATTTCTCGGCTGATGGCTGCTTCTTCCAAGCACATCAGCTTTTCTCTTCCTGCATCCGTGGTCACTCATCCAAGGTTTTCTTCCTCTTCTGCAGCTGGATCTCCCTCTCCTTCCCTCTTATAAGGATCCTGTGGTTACATTAAGGGCTCACCCAGATAATCCAGATAATCTTCCTCTCTCAAGATCCCTAATCACATCTGCAAAGTCCTTTTTGCCATGTCAGGCAACATTCACAGGTTCAACATTCAGGATGGTGCCATGGACATCTTGGGGGGCTAAGCCCACCACATCCTCCTTGCCTGGCTCACCTGTCCTCACCTCTCACGTCCTCACTGCTCTTCCTGTCTTTAGTTTAATCCATCCTCCCTTCCTGCAACCTGTGATGTAGGGCAGTGGTTCCCCAAAGCAGATCCATTAACTGAACCCCGAGAATGTTGTTAACAGTACAGGTACCTGGATTCTACCCCTAGAGATTCTGAGTCAGAAAGTCTAGTGGATCTGTATTTTATAAAACCACCAGCGTACTGATTAAATAAGTAAATGAACAAACAAAGCTTGATACCTTGATGACAGCTCCAAAATTTCAATATAGGGGAAACTCAGGAGTTTGTTTTGGGGAGTGACCCCCGCCCCGGGGGACTTACCTGAGACTGTGTTTGCATAGCAAGCATGCTGTGTTTACACTGACTGCATGTTACAGATCAATGAAAATAGCAAAGTTTTCTAAAGATGGCTTTCCGCAGATACTACATTTGTTTTTTTCTTTTGTTCTTTTGCGGTACGCGGGCCTCTCACTGTTGTGGCCTCTCCCATTGCGGAGCACAGGCTCCCGACGCGCAGGCTCAGCGGCCATGGCTCACGGGACCAGCCGCTCCGCGACATGTGGGATCTTCCCGGACCGGGGCACGAACCCGTGTCCCCTGCATCGGCAGGCGGACTCTCAACCACTGCACCACCAGGGAAGCCCTACATTTGTTTTTAAAAAATTGTTTTTACTTCAAAGTAACTTTATGGGGTGGATGGAGGTGATAGGGCGGGGGAGTTATGCTTAAACCTTCCTTTCCAATGCCATACCTTACCACCCTGCTGTTTCTCCAGGTCACTGATGCCCAGGGAGTTTGGGAACCTCTGATTCTGATCACAGACTTCTTGAGGACAAGGATTATATCAGTACCTTTTTCTGTGTTTAGTCCCTACCTCTTAGGATTCTGGCACTCAGTCAGCTTTCAATGACTGTATGCTAAATGCACAATTCAACAAATTAATGGAATTTACTGGTACATAATGTGAGTACAAAAGCATTTGTTGAGTTTTTACTAAAAGCCAGCCTACTTTGTTTTTTTAAAAAAATATTTATTTATTTGGTTGCGCCGGGTCTTAGTTGCGGCTCGTGGGCTCCTTAGTTGCAGCATGTATGTGAGATCTAGTTCCCTGGCCAGGGGTCGAACCCAGGCCCCCTGCGTTGGGAGTGCAGAGTGCACTGCACCACCAGGGAAGTCCCAAGACAGCCTACCTTGATGAGAAACTGAGGTGAGGGATTAAAGGATCTGCTGGGAGAAGCACAAATACCCAGGTAGTTCAGAGGTCAAGGTGGACCCAAACACTCCTGGGAGGTGAAACGCCAAGCAGATGTATGTTATTTGTATCTGTCCGAATATGGGGTATACAGATAATAGCTAACACATAGTACGTGCTATGGGCCGGGCACTGTTCTAAGTACTGTATATGTATCAGCATGTATGTGTATCATCTCATTTAATTTTCACAAGAACCTTAATAACTCACAAAAAAAACATTTAAGAACGATGAAACAGAGTGGTTAAATACCTTGGCCATGGTCACACAGCTGGGGAGTAGGTTCAAATCCAAGCACCCTGGATGCAGAGGTTTTATCCACCATGCTGCACTGCCCAGAGACCTGAGCTGTGTCACAGGGTATGGTACAAGAGAGATGGAAGAACAAGCCCTTAGTGCATGGTCCAGTTATGTAGAAAGGACACAAACACAGACAACATTTTGAGACTATGACAAATAATTTAATACAAAGGTACCTATCTTCTGAAGTCTTAAGGAGGGCAAGTGACTTGTCCAAGACCACGCCAATAAATGGCACAGCTGAGACTAGAATCCACATGTGTCTGAGACCAAATCCAAGTACTTGCAAGTGGGGTGAAGCTTTCTAAAGTAGGGGCAAGGGAAGGTATAGCAAGGGCATTTTATTTAATCTCAGGCTAAGAAAAGCCTGGCATTATTGTTATTTTAAAAGTTTTGGTGTACAATTCAATGATTTTCATTAAATTGATTGAGTTGTATAACTATCATCGAAATCCAGTTTTTAGAACTTTCTCATCACCCCTATAAGCTCCCCCATTCCCATGTACAGTTAATATCTGTTCTATCTCCAGCCACAGGTAACCACTCATCTACTTTCTGTCTCTATAGATTTGCTTTCTCTAGACATTTCATACAAGTGCAATCACACAATATGTTATCTTTTGTACTGACTTCTTTCATTTAGCATAACATTTTTTCCTTAACATTTATGTATTTGGTTGTATCAGGTCTTAGTTGCGGCAGGCGGGCTCCTTAGTTGCGGCTCCAGAGCTCCTTAGTTGCAGCAGTCAGGTTGTGGCATGCGAACTCTTAGTTGCAGCATGCATGTGAGATCTAGGTCCCTGACCAGGGATCAAACCCGGGACACCTGCATTGGGAGCGTGGAGTCTTATCCACTGTACCACCAGGGAAGTCCCAAGCATCACGTTTTTTAGGTTCATCCATGTTGTAGCATCTATCAGTACTTCTTTCCTTTTTGCAGCTGAATAATATTTCAGTCTATGGCTATATCACATTTTGTTTATCCATTTGCTAGTTGACAAATCTTTGGATGTTTTCCACTTTGGGGCTCTTAAGAATAATGTTGCTATGAACATTCACGCACAAGGTTTTGTGTGGATGTTATGTTTTCATTTCTCTTGGGCACATGCCTAGAAATAGAACTGCTCAGTTGTTGTGATAATTTTGTTTACTTTTGCATATGTTTTTTTGTTTTTGTTTTTGTTTTTTTGCAGTACGCGGGCCTCTCACTGTTGTGGCCTCTCCCGTTGCGGAGCACAGGCTCTGGACGCGCAGGCTCAGCGGCCATGGCTCACGGGCCCAGCCGCTCTGCGACATGTGGGATCCTCCCCGACCGGGGCACGAACCCGTGTCCCCGGCATCGGCAGGCGGACTCTCAACCACTGCGCCACCAGGGAAGCCCTTGCATATGTTTAATTTTTAAGAAACTAAAGCCTGACATTTAAGCAAAGATATGAAGGCTGAAAAAAGAAAGAACCAAGGGAGAGGGAAGGGACAATGTTCTAGGCAGTTCTGGGAAAACTATGTTTTGGGAAAAGTACCAGTTTCTTTATTCCTGATGTGGTGCCTATAAAGTAATAATGATTGTATTTCGCATCTTAAACCCAAGGCAAAATAGTGTTATCAAAGGAAAACTGTCAATTTCTTGAAGGTGATTATGTGCCTGAATCACAGCAAGGTTGCTTTTTCCCAGTTTGGTTTGAACTATTCTATGAGAAATCATTAAAAAACAAAACCAAAAAACAACAACAAACACCCAAACAAAGCAAGCAAACAAAAAACCAAAACCCTGGGCCTGATAATCTGGTATGAGAAGGGCACAAGCCACAAGGAAGAATCTATACTACTTATAGTCTGTCTTTTTCTACGTTTCAGTGAGTTAATCTCCTCACATGCATGGCAATAATATTTGCAGAGTCTAAAGGCCACAGCTCTGTTTGCACTGCTTCCCAGATGATAAATGGTGTTCAGCAAAATGCAGGAAAATAATCATACCTGAGCCACCTTTCTCCAATACGCTTTCTTCCTTTTTGTCAGATTTCGTGACAGTTGTTTTGTGTGTGTGTGTGTTTTCCCTGTTCGTGTGCTTTTCAGTGCAAGACAGAGCACATATTCAGGGCCCCAACAGTTGTGCACACAATACATTGGTTAATCTAAGGTGACCTGCAGGTTTCAACTTTGTTTGCAAAGGCAGCTACAATACAGCCATGGAGGCAATTACAGCATTACAAACAATGGACATAAAGTTGGAGAGCTGATTTCTAAAAGGCCCAAAGAGAGGTTTTACTTCTTAGCTTATGACCAGAAGTTCATGGCACATTAAGTTTTCCATTTGCAAGCTAAGAGAATCCCTTCCCACAGCTTCTAACTTCTCAAAATGATTGGAGAGAGAAAATGTCAGGGTTTCTCTTGGTGAAAAAATGTACTCTCCAAGTGTAGTGACAGAATGCCAGCTTTGTCTCTGTACTTTAAGACTGAATAGGAGGCAGGGATTGGTGGTCTATCTGCACAGAGGTCAGTAATGGCCATTTATTTTTTCATCATCTACTTAAAATTCATGTCCCTGACTTCTAGATATGGCACCTTGATTTTCCTTTGAGAAATTCTTGAGTTCCTGTAGTTTGGTTGTTCTGACACCATCACTATGCCCCGGGGTAGGCAGACGAGACCATTTGGAACAGTGCGTATCCCTGGTCACGGTGATGGACTCACGAATGGGCATGTGACCCAAGCTGGGATAATGAGAAGTATAGAGTTTTCGCTTAAACAGTCAGAAGAAAGGTGCCCTCTTTCCTTTGGGTCGTAAGGCTGGTAGAATTGAAGTCTAGAAGTGCTGATGAACATCTTCTTCTGGCTTCAAGGAGGAATCCTACCTATAATAGGTGAGAACAAAGCCAATAGAGAGGAAAGTAGAACCCAGAGATGGGGGAAGACGGGTTACCATGGCATGATCTCAGCATCCAGTGCCAGCTGTGTTAAAATCTATGCAGCCCCTGGACTAGTCCACTATTTGAACGAAGGATTTCTTTTGTGTGTGTTTAGATGGAGGGAGGGTTTTGTTACCTGCAACAACAACAACAACAACAAATTCTGACTGATTTAGGGGTCACCCAAAGCTGTATTTAGTACTAACAGAAAATGGCCTTTCTCCATACCTTAAACCCCACCTCTGAAGCAACCTCAGAATTTGAAAATAGTCTCAGCGAGTGAGTCTGGGTTCAGCATATTTTGTTTTATCTACACACAAGTGCTGTATGTAAAAATTTCAGCAAGCTAAACCTGGAAGACTCCCAGTAGGTTTGTGACCTAAAAAGGTGAAGTTACTGTCCCAGGACAGTACAGTTGTGGTACAATTGAAGTGTCCTGGTGTCAGTCTTCCACTGTCTTTCACTATTTTCAATGAGATGAATTTGAAAATGTAAGATGCTACACATACGTGGATTGTAGTATCAACTTACAGGAAGTGGTCAGCTTTTTAAAATAAAAGAAATAGAATAGATAATATCAAGAATACATCACATAGGGACTTCCCTGGTGGCGCACTGGTTAGGAATCCACCTGCCAATGCCGGGGACATGGGTTTGATCCCTGGTCCAGGAAAATCCCACATGCTGCAGAGCAACAAAGCCCTCAAGCCACAACTACTGAGCCCACCTGCCACAACTACTGAAGCCCACACGCTCTAGGACCTGCGTGCCGCAACTACTGAGCCCGAGTGCTGCAACTGCTGAAGCCTGTGCACCTACAGCCCATGCTCCACAGCAAGAGAAACCACTGCAATGAGAAGCCCACGCACCGCAATGAAGAGTAGCCCTCTCTCACCACAACTAGAGAAAGCCCGCGCGCAGCAACCCGAAGACCCAACGCAGCCAAAAAAAATCACATATAAGAAGAGCAAGTATTATTTTATTTAGTTTCACTTCAGTTGTATATAAAAAAATGTATATATCCATGTATACATAGAAATCAATATAGTGAATCACTGAATCTGACGTGAGCTATGTGCTTCTTACTGTGATTCTTGGTCAGAGTTTGAAAGCCTCTTGAGTGCATGCTTGGATTTCTTTTATGAGCACGTTTACATTGAAGGGGGGAGGGGGAGTATGTTTTTCAAAACAGGAAAGGGTCCCTGGCCTCCCAAGCCAGCCTATTCTGGAGGGCACGGATTCTAACGAAGGTTCCAAGCCTGAGTTATGAACACAACAATTTCCCTGTTTGTCTTCCCCATCACTGAGCTACCAGTAACCAGAGCATTCTTTCGGAACGCTTTTGGAATTCTTTGGGGGATGAAAGTGCTGTATAAAATCAAGCCTGGTCTGTTTATGGATGTAATTCCCTGCGCCTGGAGATCAGGACCGAGCGCTGCGGTCTGAATTACACTGCATCTGATTCTCATTAACTGCCATGATTTCCCCCCTGGATCCGGCTCCTTGGTCCTCTCTGAATTACTGCGCACATGGCTGGCTTCCGCAGATTGCTCAGCCTCGGTCATCTG